TAATAAAAAAGAATAATTGTTTAAAATAACATACGAGTATATTCAACCTTTTTAAGAACATCTATGTAAATCAATGTCACTATTATTTGACAAGTCGGTGACCCCCTATTTCTTTAGACATTTAGACTGAGTATACATTTTAAAGGACCTTTTAAGAAAAGAAAAATTAAAACATTTATTTCAGGATCTTTTTGATAAGCCGCTTTAAAGCCAAACAAGTGCGTCTAAACTGAACGTCAAATTTTAACCCAAAATTGACGATTTTCTTTCCATTTTTCAAAGATTTTTAGGAGTAAAACGTTAAATTTTAGTTCAGACTAAAGGGAAAAAATTCTGTGGAATGCTGTAGAATTTAAGATATTTTGCGCGCCTATGGCGTTGTAATACAAGTAACAGTTACCAAGGATACGCAACAACGTCATGTTTAAAACGGGCTTTGATGGTCAACTTTGACGTGGTGTGTACAAAATTTGGCTGAAACTATTGGAACAAGAGGGCCATGATGGCCCCGGGGTCGCTCACCTGTACATAGGCCCCCAGGGCGGGGCCAGTTTAAACCAAAGGGCTTTTATTTGGACAAACTTGGAAGACACCCATTAGAAGATGTTTCATGATGTTAAGTTTTTACTATACACAAATAATGAAAAACATTATTTCACTTTTGCCCCCCCCCCCCTCACCCTGGCAGGGCCAATTTTAACCCAAGGGCTTTTATTTGAACAAACTTGGTAGACATCCATTAGAACATGTTTCATGCTAAATATCTTAGCTCTAGCTCTTTGGGTTCTTTAAAAGAAGATTTTTAAGTTTTTAATTACTATATGCAATATAGGGAAAATCAATGACCCCCTAGGGCGGGGCCAATTTTGACCCCAGGGCTTTTATTTGAACAAACTTGGTAGACACCCATTACAAGATGTGTCATGCTAAATATCTTAGCTCTAGCTCTTTGGGTTCTTTAAAAAAAGATTTTAAAGTTTTTACTACATGTATATAGGGAAAATCAATAACCCCTGGGGCTGGGCCAATTTTGACCCCAGGGCTTTTATTTGAACAATCTTGGTAGACACTCATTAGAAGATGTTTCATGCTAAATATCTTAGCTCTAGCTCTTTGGGTTCTTTAAAAGAAGATTTTTTTAAGTTTTTACTATATGCAATATAGGGAAAATAAAAGACCCCCTGGGGCGGGGCCAATTTTGACCCCAGGGCTTTAATTTGAACAATCTTGGTAGACACCCATTAGAACATGTTTCATGCTAAATATCTTAGCTCTAGCTCTTTGGGTTCTTTAAAAGAAATTTTTTTAAGTTTTTACTACATGTATATGCAATATAGGGAAAATAAAAGACCCCCTGGGGCGGGGCCAATTTTGACCCCAGGGCTTTTATTTGAACAATCTTGGTAGACACTCATTAGAACATGTTTCATGCTAAATATCTTAGCTCTAGCTCTTTGGGTTCTTTAAAAGAATTTTTTTTAAGTTTTTACTATATGCATATAGGGAAAATCAATGACCCCCTGGGGCTGGGCCAATTTTGACCCCAGGGCTTTTATTTGAACAAACTTGGTAGACATCCATTAGAACATGTTTCATGCCAAATATCTAAGCTCTAGCTCTTTGGGTTTTTAGATGAAGATTTTTTTAAGTTTTTACAATATGCATATAGGGAAAATCAATGACCCTGAGGCGGGGCAAATTTTGACCCCAGGGCTTTTATTTGAACAATCTTGATAGACACTTATTAGAAGATGTTTCATGCTTAATATCTTAGGTCTAGCTCTTTGGGTTCTTTAAAAGAAGATTTTTTTAAGTTTTTACTATATGCATATAGGGAAAATCAATGACCCCCTGGGGCCTGGCCAATTTTGACCCCAGGGCTTTTATTTGAACAAACTTGGTAGACACTGATTAGAAGATGTTTCATGCTAAATATCTTAGCTCTAGCTCTTTGGGTTCTTTAAGAGAATTTTTTTTAAGTTTTTACTATATACATATAGGGAAAATCAATGACCCCCTTGGGCTGGGCCAATTTTGACCCCAGGGCTTTTATTTGAACAATCTTGATAGACACTTATTAGAAGATGTTTCATGCTTAATATCTTAGGTCTGGCTCTTTGGGTTCTTTAAAAGAAGATTTTTTTAAGTTTTTACTATATGCATATAGGGAAAATCTATGACCCCCTGGGGCGGGGCCAATTTTGACCCCAGGGCTTTTATTTGAACAAACTTGGTAGACATCCGTTAGAACATGTTTCATGCCAAATATCTAAGCTCTAGCCCTTTGGGTTTTTTAGAAGAAGATTTTTTAAGTTTTTACTATATGCATATAAGGAAAATCAATGACCCCCTGGGGCGGGGCCAATTTTGACCCCAGGGCTTTTATTTGAACAATCTTGGTAGACACTCATTAGAAGATGTTTCATGCTTAATATCTTAGGTCTAGCTCTTTGGGTTCTTTAAAAGAAGATTTTTTTAAGTTTTTACTATATGCATATAGGGAAAATCAATGACCCCCTGGGGCGGGGCCAATTTTTACCCCAAAGCTTTTATTTGAACAATCTTGGTAGACACTCACTAGAAGATGTTTCATGCCAAATATCTAAGCTCTAGCTCTTTGGGTTTTCTAGAAGAAGATGTTTAAAGTTTTTTCTTTTGGTTGCCATGGCAACCAGAGTTCTGCATGGAATGGAATTCTTTGAACAACTTTGTTAAGGCTTCACACAAGGAACATCCCTGTGAAGTTTCATTATGATCTGCCTTATGGTTTCAGAGGAGATGTCGTTTGAAAAGTGTGAACGGACAACGTACGACGGACGACGGACGACAGACGACGGACGAAGAGTGATCCTAATAGCTCACCCTGAGCATATGCTCAGGTGAGCTAATAAAATTAACGGAATCTAATCAGAAATATGGTCATCTTTTTGCATGTCTTTTTTTCAAGACGCTACTTGAAAGTTCGCAAAGTGTCGCGTTCTACCATAAGTCCGATTGTGATGAAAGCTTAAATTGTTTTAGCTTCTAATTCCTGGAAACAACATACAGCCTTCAACTTAATATTGCAGAAATATTGTATCATGCAATATGACTGCGACCCAAGTAGGTCTTACTTTACATCATCCCTGTGTTTACAGCCACCTCTTATCGAAATAAAATATACATTAACATTTACAGAAAAACAGTGACAGCAACATGATTTTCAAATAAATTTAAATATTAAAAATGACTTTATGTGTTTAAAATGACATCAACAATTTTTATGAATATACAAATTATAACTAGACTAATAAAAATATAGTTTAAGTACCGTAAGTATCATATACTTCATATATAATTAAAGGTATAATATTTGACAACACGAAATATTTTATAAATAATTGTCACATGCCGAATGTGTAGCCGTAACTAGGTATAATTGTTTTGAAAGATATAAAATGAAATGAATAAGTAAAAATATCAATTGAATTTACAAGTTGACCAACCAAAAAATAATAATAAATATTAACGACATCATGAAAATATCTTGAACATGAAAACAAAATATAAGAATGAAAACAAAATATAAGGTGATAAGAAAAATGAAATATTTTAAATTCATAAATACTTACACAGCAAATATTTATTGATAAAACAGACAAATTGCAGTATTTACAGCTATAGAAGATTATTCTAACTTAATTGTAATATGCTTGCTATATATTACTTAATTTACTTAATTTGTAATTAAGTAACCGACCCAAAACGCATTTTGGTTTGCTATATTTTTTGTATGTAACAATTTATTTGAAACATTTTCCACATTTCGCAACAAGTTTTCGTAGAAGGTTTCCAAATTGGAGGATGTTTTCCTGTAAAGCTCTTTCGTCGGCAGCAATCGATTGTTTTGCATCAATAACAACAACAACTGGTTTGTTAACCTATGAAAAATAAAAAAAAATCAAATTTGCTAATCTAGACTGAAAAAGCATAAGTATATATTAAACACTATATAACATATAACACGCAGTAGTAAGCCCCATAGAAATATGATACCTGAAAGAATAGTGTCACTCTCCGACCATGATATTCATATCTTTAGGCACGGTATATTGGTAACTCTACACGCTAAAAAATGACTCCTGCGAGGAACTGTGGCTCCCTTAGAATATTTATACCCGTGCTACTTGTGGTCATCATTTATGGATAGGTTACCCATTTCCTCAATCGGAACGTCATCGGCTATTATCTATAATGACCTCGGAGTAAATGCGGATCGAAAGAAGCTCTACCACGTGGTTTCAGATGTTAACAGAAACAGCGAAGGTCACCTTCGATAATGCAAAACAAATGTATATTTTTGACATCCAAAAGAAAATAAAGACTGTTTCGTTACAATTAGTATTGAAAATATGACTGACAACGATTTTTAATTTAAATATGCATTTTGATGTACAATAATAAGCAAATGCGACTCAATGTAAACAGGTTGGCATTTTGTACTTTCGAATTATACAACCATAATAATAATATGTATCTATGAATTCACTTATTTTATAATTTAAGGTGGACCTTTACTTGATATGTTGGAAATAAACTTGTCGACAACTCCGAGCATTGAATTACTATTTTGTTTACATGTTTAGTTTCTTAGAATAGGTTAGACCGAAATACCGTATTCGTTCTGTGTATTCGTACTTGTGTTCAAGGTCCTAATCCGAAAACTAAATGAAAGAGTCGAAAAGGTAAGATTGTCAATTCATAGTCAAAGATACGATAAGTTAATGAAGATTTTCTAAAAGGAAAATAGAAGCATAAAAATTTCCTTTTTAAAACGACTTCATAATACGACCACTATTATTGTTGAGAATTGAGTACCGCTCGCCGGTGCTAGGGGACTGAGGGATGTTGCACTTACTCATTATCCCCTAATAGTCCAGTCAACGAAAAACATGCACTCGGACTAATTGCAACAAAATCTTTATCTATACCACACAAAAGTACATTGTCTTAATGTCCTATACAAAAAAGTTGCATATTGTACTCATTGGCAAAACAAAATAAATTAGATTTTAAAAATTCATATTTTCGTGTTTTCCTATGACAGCCGCGGCGTGCCATAGTCAGTACTCTTCAGAGCTGGAGGTTAAATGACGTCATAAAGTTAATGGCGGCGTCTATTTGAAATGAAAAAAAAAGTTCATAAAATATTTTATCGATACGATTTACCGCTAATTCATGTAGGGTAAGTCAAATTTATGTTTATTTTTCGTAAAATTAGAAGTTAATTTTGTAAATAGCGATCTTTTTGGATGCACATCTTTTGTAAATGCTATTCTCAAGACCAAACTTCTGATAAAAGAAATATGCATATTTCAGTATACAAAATGTATTTAGCTGTTTGCAATTACTATGCATTGAAGTTAGCAAGCATAATGTTTGATAAATAAACGACATTGCATTATATATTTGAGAAAAAAAGTTTCTTTGGGGGACACTCTCGTTCATTTATTTTTTAAGTATGGAACGCCGTTCCCGTCATAATATATGAAAATGTCATCATAAACAAAACATGTGCGTATGTGCATGTTTTGACTTCAGATTTTTTGTTCATGAGCAATGTTTATACTCGTATGCGTGTAGAATGTTAAAATTAAATGATTTACTTAAACATTGCTGTTGTTTCGTTGTAGCTGAAGAATTTATATAGCGCCAACACAGCATATCTTCAACAGAAAAAAAAAAACATTTATATAGCGTCAACACAGCATATCTACATCAGAAGAAACAATGGTTTAATATCATAGTATGTGCATTTTCTCCGTAAATTAATGAATAATAACACATAATATTATTTGTTATTGATATTTATTGTTTATGAAAACCACAGGGGTGGTGTTCACTCAGTTAGTAAATAAAAAATAAAACATAATTACATAATAAACAAAATGTATTGTATTCCATAATTTGAAATCTTCCAAAATACATATATTTACATTATTTGTTTGATTCAAAATATTCATAGTTCTTTCATTATTCCATTTTAGTTCAATAGTCGTGTTCTGGATAGAAGTAGACAAGCAACTTAACAGTTCAGACTCCACCAGCAATAGTGAATATAAAGGTAATCTAAATACTCATCTCAAGTTTTTCTTTTTCTTTTTATACATTCATTACTGTTTAATTTCAAGCTACAATACACAGTTGAACTTGTTATAACTGTCATCTTTACAACACTATTTTAATGAAATTGCTTTCAGCGTTTGTGACTATTACCCATATTAATTCAAAATAATAAGCTATGGAACTTCACATCATATTCTTCTGTTTTAGCTGACGAACTGAGTAAATGAATAGTCAACATTGACCCATGACCATCGCAACTTAGTATAGTGTGCAAGGTATGTATCCTTGAGCCCTGGCATATTCTAACACTTATTACACACTATTTAGAAAATGTAATATGAAGAATGAATGTAGCATTGTTATATTTTGGCATATTTGTAAATGTTGTTCACTGGTCTTTTTCTTAAAGCTGAATGCTTCCAACAAAAAATATTTTCGAAAGTCAAACTTGAGGAAAATATACTAAAATTCTAAGAGGCATGCTGTTTAAAGTGTACATTTTTACGAAGTAATTAAATTAATCTTTCAGTTACATGTATGAATGAACATTGAACCTCAAGTTATGATGAGAAATTTCCACAACAATATTCATATTTGTTTGCATTTTTCACGTGAATAAATCTTCTTACTTTTACCATTCAATTTATTGTCTATAAAACATACCATATAAAATGAAATAGTGCATGAACATATTGTTCTTTCAGATGGAGACGGATAATTGTGTGTTTTGCAACAGGTCACTTATAGATCGGTCTACAGTGAAACTACGGGATAAAGGCTGCGAATCTATAAACAAATTAAGTGTCGATCGACAATTGACTATACAAGTCACTCCTGGACAGGACGTTCATGTGGACTGTAGAAGAGACTTTATTCATAAAAGAAATAATGCTAATAATTCCACCGAAAATAATAACAATAATACAGTATGTTCAACACGTTCATCAAGTGTGTTTGACTTTAAACATAAATGTATATTTTGTTCCAAAGATGCTAAGGTTAACCACAGAAAACGTGGATATGATGTTTTGCCTGTTCGTATTCTTGATTTTCACAAATCCATTGCACGTGTGTGTTTGGAAAGGAACGACAAGTGGGCACATTATGTATCTGGTAGAATTGCTAGTATAATTGATCTTCCAGCTGCTGAAGCTCTGTATCATCAAACATGCAGTGTCAACTTTAGGACGAAACGTCAAATTCCAAAGGAGTTTAATCAAGAAACTGCTCATTCTACAATGCCAAAGAGGAGCCCTGGCAGACCTGAAGCAGCTGATACTACAGAAGGATTTAAGAATGTTATAAGCTATATAGAAGAAAATGAAGGATGTGTAATAACAATCTCTGAACTAATCGAGTTGATGGAAGAAACCTGTGGGGAGCGTGCTTTTTCATACAAACATATGAAGAACAGGTTAGTTGACTAATTTGGAGATTCTATTTCAGTAACAACTTTCGGAAATACTGAAGCTAAAGTAACTATGAAAAGGAAAGCATCGGAAATAATTCATGACTTTTCGAAGAATACAGAAGGTCTGTCAGAAAATGAAAAAAAGAAAGTGATTATTACTTCAGCAGCAAAAATAATCAAAGCAGATATAAACTCTATGAAAACAGAGTCCAGCAAAAAATTCTACCCTTCATTCTCCTCAGTATCATCTACAAAGGAAAACACAGAATTCATTCCTGAAAGTCTTCAGACATTATTAGCAGTGTTACTTTGCGGGAATGATTCAGATGTCAAACTAGCATCCATTGGCCAAGCAGTTATGCAAGCATGCAGACCAAAGAGCATTTTAGCCCCATTACAAATCGGTCTTGGCGTATAATGTCTGCAATTTTCATGTAATTTTGTTGTGATTAATGCTTCCGAGTGATCACTCTGTTTCCAGGTTTTTATATCGTTTCCAGATTTTTATATCGTAGTATGATTAATCTTATTGTCAAGTGCAGAAAGCTTTAAGTGGAATGATAATGACAGATGGGCGTTTTTCACGTTTCCTTTGGATCGTTGTTGTTGAATTTTATTACTAAAAATAATAAACAAGAGGGCCATGATGGCCCTGGGGTCGCTCACCTGTACATAGGCCCCCAGGGCGGGGCTAGTTTAAACCCAAGGGCTTTTATTTGAACAAACTTGGAAGACACCCATTAGAAGATGTTTCATGATGTTAAGTTTTTACTATACACAAATAATGAAAAACAATGACTTTTGCCCCCCTCCCCCTGGCAGTGCCAATTTAACCCAAGGGCTTTTATTTGAACAAACTTGGTAGGACACTTATTAGAACATGTTTCATGCTAAATATCTTAGCTCTAGCTCTTTGGGTTCTTTTAAAAGAAGATTTTTAAGTTTTAATTACTA